GGGAACCCAAGGTTGAGTAAGGATAGTGTTGATGTGTTGTGAGGTTGTTAACCATTGTCATAGGGCAACATGTGTACTAACTGTTTAATGAGAAAGTATTTTGTTCTGTAAGCCTTCCTCTAAAGTGAAAATAGCAGCACAATTGGAAGAGCGTAGTCGATGTCACTGAACTGTGCATGCAGAAATTTTTGAAATGGTGTATCTTTGCTATGTATATTTTCACCACAAAAAAAAAGGTCGAGAAGGGAGAGGGTTGACATGTTGTGGGGTTGTTAACCAATGTCATAAAATAACACGTGTACCACTGTTTCATGAGAAACTATTTGTTCTGTAAGGCTTCACCTGAAGTAAAATAAAAGAAATAAAAAAAAAAAAGATTTTACTGAAATGAAAAGATAGACTACCAACTGGGAAAATATCTTTGGAAATCATATATCTGACAAGGATCTAATAAGCACAATATATATACAATTTAGACAACAACAAAAAGACAAATAACTCAATCATAAAATGGACTAATGATCTGAATAGACATTTCACCAAAGAGGACATTCAAATGGCCACCAAACACATGAAAAATGCACAATCATTAGCCATCAGAGACATACAAATCAAAACCACAATGAGACAGCATTTCACTCCCAGTAGGATGGCTAGGAGCCCTGGTGGCATAGTGGTTAAGAGCTATGGCTCCTAACCAAGGGTCAGCAGTTTGAATTTACCAGCCACTCCTTGGAAACCCTGTGGGGCAGTTATACTCTGTCCTCTAGGGACACTATGAGTTGTAATCGACTCTACAGGAATGGGTTAGGTTGTTTTTTGTTTTTTTTAGGATGGCTAAGACAGAAAAAAAAAACCAGAAAATAACAAATGTTGTTGAGGATGTGAGAAATTGGAACCCTTATCCATTGCTGGTAGGAATGAAAAACAGTACAGCTGCTGTGGAAAACTGTGGCAGTTCCTCAAAAAACTAAAAACAGAACCAACGTATGACCCAGATATTCCACTCCTAGGTATATACTCAAAAAACTGAAAGCAGAGACTCAGAGACTTGTACACCAATGTTCATCGCAGCACTATTCACAATAGCCAAAAGGTGGAAACAACCTAAAAGCCCATCAACAGATAAATGCATAAACAAAATGTGGTACATACATACAATGGCATACTAGTCAGCCAGTAGGAGAACTGAAGTCTTCATACATGTTACAATATGGATGGAACTTAAAGACATCATGCTGAGTGAAATAAGTCAATCACAAAAAGACAATTATTGTATGACCTCACATATAAAAAGACAAGAAATAGAAAATGTATAGAGAACAGAGTTTATTAGTGGTTAACAGAGGTGGGAGAGAGGCAGGAAAGGGCGGTTTAATGGTGATGGAAAAACCGCGTTAAGGGTAGGGTTGCAAGGCTGATTATTGTAATTGCTGTCAATAAGTTGTACACCTGTAAAAAGTTAAACTGGCAAGAGTTGTATGATAGATATATTTACAAAAATGACAAAAAACAAGAGTAGCAGCTGAGGCTGCTTAATACAACCAAACACCTTATGGGATTTTGTTCCTTGGTTTGGAGGTTTAAGGTCATGGTTTCATGGGACATCTCAGTTAATTGGCCTTATAACATGTTCAGTGCTTCTGTTCTACTGCCTATGTTGTTGCGTAGTGCCTGGGGTCTTAAAAGCTGGCCATCCAAGGCAAAACAACTGGTCTCTATTCACCTGGAGCAACAGAAGAAGGAGAGTCAGGAATAGGAGGAAGATATGAATGTGTGGCTAACTGCCTCCATGAACAACCTTCTCCTTTGCCATAAGACCAGAACTGGATGGTGCCCGGCTACCATTACTGAACATTTTTTTTTTTTTT